AACTGGCCCTCCATACAATTTACAAAACCCGATGCGGCCCTCAGGCCAAAAAGTTTGCCCACCCCGATCTAATGTATCCGATATCCCTGTCAGATTTATTTGGACTTGTCTTTGTGATTCGTTTGTTAATAAAAGACTAAACTTTCCACTCTCTGGAAAAGCAGACTGTGTTATAGCCATGACAAGCTTTTACGAGGCTAAATAGTCAATGGTAAATGAGAGGAAGAACAGCACATATGGAGAGAGGATATCATCCCAAATCTGTGTGTTTTGTAAACTGAAGGTGGATAAAGCCATTTCTATGGATTGGTGGAATTGGTGTGCAAGAATATTGGTATACAATTTATAAATTAGATGTGAACTCCATTCTTCAAAAAATGAGAGGTTTTTAAATGTGAAGTAATACTTGTATTATAACTAGGGTGACCAGATAGCAAGGGTGAAAAATTGAGACGGGTGCCGGGGTAATAGGCACTTATATAAGACAAAGCCCCAAATATTGGGACTGTCCCTATCAAATCAGGACATCTGGTCACCCTAATTATAACTGAACTGTTTTGTTAGAGTAAGAGCCTGGTTGCATAGTGAATCATTGTGTTTTATGGTTGTTAATAAAACAAAACTTAGAAGTTTGGCCTGGGCAATGTAAAGATGAGAGTTCAGTCCTAATGCTGATTCTGTGCACTTCAGATGACTTTGCAAATCCCAGATGAAATCACTTTGTTTCCTAACAGACAAGGCAGAGTGCACTGTATGCTCATTAATGGAGTTGGACTCCCATTGACTTATATGGAAGTTGGATCAGGCCGTAAATAACTAATCCGAGTATGTGTGGATGACTGTATGCAATAAACTATGCTTCTTGACCTATTCATTTGTTTATTTTCCCAGAAGTTTATATTTCACAGCATTACTGATTTGTAACTTAAAGTGGGTTTGAAAAAGACAGGTTTAATCAGGTGATAGCGCTATCTATATTTATGTCTATATATATATATCTATATAATTATTAGTCCTGTCTCTAAAAAGTTAATTTTTATTTGATTCTCCATTGTAATTTCTATACAAACAGTGAACACAATGAAATCCTTAAAGGTGACATGCATTAAGAAGGCCTGAAGGGTTTTGTTTTTAATTTTTCTAGTTTGTGCTTTTACATTAGAAATAACAGAAATGTCAAGTTTGGGTTATCTGATTTTGTTAGAGGTCTTCTTGAGGGAGGTGATAACACAGATGTGTGTTGAGAACTCTCAAACCTGAATTGAGATAGTGTGATATGTAATTTTTAACAAAGACATTACATTCTTTCTCTTGCTTGTTTATTAGGCAATGGAAATAAATTAGGTATTCACAAAAACAAACAAAAAGTGTTTTCATCTGTTTCGTTCAAACAGTTGAAAACACATCCCCTCTTGGTTGCTCAGTGTTCAATCTCTTGTCATATAAAAAATTTATTGGTTACAAGGTTGCCATAGAGTCTTCATGGGAGATAAGACCTGAACTTCCAATATAAAAGCAAGCAGATTTTTCTTTGTTTTTAACAAAAGCCTTATCAGCTGATTTCATATATCACAAAGCAGCTAAAATCGGAACAAGCTCAATTATGTTTTTTTCCTTTTCAATTTATCTTTTAAATTCTGCACTAGAGATATTTTAGAATGTATAAGTAGTTGTGACTTAAAATCTTTCTTAACCCCCCCACAACCCCCCCTCCCCGCCCCCAACCATAGTGCTTCTGTCCCCTACTCCACTAAAGTTTTCCATCTTTTCCTTTTACTGATTCATAAATATAAATTACATTTTTGGGTGGTAAAATATTGTCATAAATGTATGTGATTCTGCTCTTTGATCAGAAATTGAACACGTACTGGGAAGTTAAAACACCCATTGCTTTCACTGTTGTGTGATCATCAGATGTGCACCATGTAAGTTTTTTGAGCTTTCCATCACTGCCAGTTCTCCTTGGCTTGTGATGTGCTTGTAATTTGTGTGGCCATTGGAAAAGAAAGGACTATTTGCCCTTACCACAGGCTCTTAAAATGTGGTTAGCTTATATATGCTGAGAGAACTTGTTTCTTTACAGCAAATATATTTACAGTGGAATAAAGTTTTGTTAATACTGCCTTTCCTACAAACAGTGCCCCAAGATATTAATGCAATTACAGAGCTAAATAGGATTTAAACGTGGAGGCAAGGGTTAAGAAAAGTTTTCGGCTGAGATGCTTAAAGAAATGGAGAGTGATACTGAAGGCTGTAGGTGCAGCAGCAGGGAAAGTTCTTGCACTAGTAAGGATGTGACTGTGTGGAGACTAATTGGCTCACAGTATGTTTTAGTAATAGTTAAAAATTGACCCTATCTCTTAACTAGAAAATTAGCTAGCTAAAAATCAACAGTGATTACATGTTGCCATGGAGTATGGGACCGAATGCTTAGCCTTTTGCTTTGTTCTCAGGCAGTTGGTAGGGGCTTGGGAGCACTGCACATGATGCTCTGTTAGCCCCTAGAGGGACTGAAAGATTGATGGGGTGCAGATGTAGCAAGGTCAACCCTTTTCCTGCTGGAAGAAGAGTGTCTGCAACATGGATACTTTGAGTAAGGACAGTTAACGGAAGGGGGATGCTGGGGGAGCTGGGAGATAGAGGCAATGGAGAAAGATCCTTTCTATTCCTTTAAGAACCCTTGGAGTGGTCGCAGAGGGGTGAATGTGACAATAAACTCTCAGTGGCACAATAACACTAAACTAATGTTAAGTTTAAAACCCAGGCTTAAGTGCTCTCTGGAAGACTGGGGAGGGCAGCTCCCTCCTCAGCACAGTGAGAGATCTATGGTGGGGCAAATAGACAAATACTCTCCACCCACAGAAGGGGTGGGAGGTGATTCACTAAAGAAAAAGCATCATCAGTGGGCTCAGCACAGGAATGAGTCACAGAAGTGAGTTTTAGAAAAGGGCCTATGACAGAGAAGAGGGAAGGGGACGGGGTGTACAAGAAGGGAGAGAATATTCCAAGTGTATGGGGCAAGATGATAGAAGGTAGGAGAAGACAAAGGCTCTCTGTGGAAGGCTGTGGACAGCTTGCTGTGCTTTACTGCCAGGAAAATAATGTACAAAAGCATGACAAGTAAATTCTGTACAAAGACAACTGAGACATCATATTTTGTGACTATTAAAGTTGGACAGGTTGCCTGTCTATAGAGAAGGTTACACAGCTGCCTCTATTCTTTGCTTGTCTCCTGCAACCCTTTATTTTTTTTAATGGGAGAAACCTAAAAACAATCAACGTTCATATTGTCATTTAATGGGCAGAAATGATGTCCCTAGCCTGTGTTTGCCAGAAGCTGGGAACGAGCAACAGGGTGGATCAATTGATGATTACCTGTTCTGTTCATTCCCTCTGGGGCGCCTGGCACTGGCCACTGTCGATAGACAGGATACTGGGCTAGATGGACCTTTGGTCTGACCCAGTATGGCTGTTCTTATGTTCTTATGTATTTTAAAGGATTTTATTTCACTCATTTGTAATCTCAGTTGCATTAATTAAAAAAAGACATTTTATTATCATTTCCTTATTACACAAGGGCCTACTTGACACTTCCCATATTAATTTTCATTTATTTTTAGATCTCTAATTAATGGCAAGGATTGCGCACTGGAAATCTTGTGTTAAAAGTTGGGGGTTTTGTGGGTTTTGTAACCATATCTAGAGTGACCATATTTCCAAAAGTAAAAATAGGACGGCCAGGCCCAAGCGGCCCCCCCCCCGCCCCTGCCTGCAGGGCTAGTCAGAGCCACCCCCCCCCCCAGCTCCGTGCCCCCATGCCACCCATGGGTGGGGCTGGGGCCGGGTGCCTGAGCTCCCTACCACCCATGGTAGCGGCTGATGCCCCCAAGCGCCGCAACACCAGCCATTGGGACTGACCTCCCCTGAGCTCTGAGCCCCTGCCACCCACGGCTGGGGCTGAACCCCTGAACCCCCTGCTGCCCGCAGTAGCAGATGATGCCCCCAAGCTCCGCACCACCAGTGACTGGGACTGATTCCCCACCCCCACCCCGAGCTCCGTGCCCCGCACCTCAGTTGCTTCTTTCAATGTTCCTCCATGCCCCCGCTGTGGGGGTGTGGGCGGGGGCGGGGGGGTCCAACTTTTTTGGTAAACTGGGCATTTGTTTGTTTGCTCTTGTCAGCTGATCAGTTGGGAAGAGCAAATGGGAGAAATGCCCATTTTCCTTAAAAAAGTCGGGACCCCCGGGTCAGAGCTTAAAAATGTGACTGGCCCGGCCAGAATGGGACATATGGTCACCCTAGCCATATCCAGGGATTTTTTTTTAATAAACTTGAAACAGTCTTTGTTGTTCTCCTATGGTTTAATTCCTTTAGAAGCTTGAGATGGAAATTTGTCCTTCCCAAAATATTTTCTATATTTTGGCTTGTGCACTCTGATTTGATATATGTTTGTGTGTGATTGCAGGGCTGCTGGCATTAAATTTTGTTCAAGTATATTTTTATACTGATAATACTGTTATAGCACTTTTCCCATCTGTCTCAGTTTTTTATGAAGACTCATGCATTAAACATTTCAAAAAGAGCCTTGGTGAGGTAACTATTCACAATTTTTACGATTTCTAAAAGAAAGACACAGACAGGGCTGCAAAATAGAACCCAGGAGTCCTGTTTATTAACTAGACGCATTCTCTCTTTTAAAGGAAAAAGAGAGGTTAATGATTTTTTTTGTGTGAACAGGAGAAAACCATAAAGTTACATGGACTTTCAGATTGACAAATGAAGCCTAACAATGAACTGAAATGTTGATGACCCCTATTTCAAATATTTGATATATCCATGCCAAACATCTTTGTACCATTTCTGTTCCAGATGTCGGTGGTATTCCTGTCAGTCAGAAGAATATTGTGAAAAGCTTATTTCAGTTGTGCATTTTAAAAATGCCTTTTAAAAAAGTTTCAGCATGTATTTATTAAAATATATTTTCCTTCTGTTACTTGCAGGTCAAAATTTACCTGGCTGATTCATATTCGCTTTGTCTGAACCATGCTATAGAGGAATAAACATGATGCCAAACAGAGGTAACCTCTCTTCCTTCCAGAGCATTGCATCAGGTATGAAATGCACAAAGCACATGTCTTGTAACTTTATTGGAGACTTCATTGGTTTTGGTGCTATAATTTTGTTTGTTCTGTAAATTGTCAGTTCTCTGCTCTTGTTACCTTCATAATTTATTTTTCTTAACTAAGAGGGAACTATTGTCATAGCACAGGGGTGGACAAACTTTTTGGCCCGAGGGCCACATTGGGGTTGCAAAACTGTATGGAGGGCTGGGTAGGGAAGGCTGTGCCTCCCCAAACAGCCTGGCCCCTGCCCCCTATCCAACTCCTCCCACTTCCCGCCCCCTGGCTACCCCCCTCAGAACCCCCCACCCATCCAACCCCCCCTGCTCCTTGTCCCCTAACCGCCTCCTCCCGGGACCCCCCACTCCTAACTGCCCCCCAGGACCCCACCCCCTATCCAAGCCTCCCTGCTCCCTAACTGCCCTGCCCCCTATCCATACCCCTGCCCCCTGACAGGCCCCCCGGGACCCCACACCTATCCAACCATCCCTGTTCCCCGTCCCTTGACCCCTATCCACATCCCCCACCCCCTGACAGGCTCCCCGGGACTCCCATGCCTATCCAACCCCCCACCCTGTTCCCCGTCCCCTGACTGCCCCCCAGAACCTCTGCTCCATCCAATTGCCCCCTGCTCCCTGTCCCCTGACTGCCCCCTGGGACACCAACCCCTTATCCAACCCCCCAGTCCCTTTACCATGCCACTCAGGGCAGCACATCTGGTAGCCGCGCCACCCAGCCACGTGGCTGCGGGGGAAGGGGGATAGCGGGGGAGGGGCTGTGGGCTAGCCTCCCCAGCTGGGAGCTCAAGGGCCGAGCCGGATGGTCCCGCAGGCCAGATGTGGCCTGCGAGCCATAGTTTGTCCACCTCTGCCATAGCTTCTGGGTGCATCACAAAAAAGAACAAATCTCAGTTTTATGTCTGTCCTCAGTGAGTAGCAGAACTGACCCTCTGATTAACCACCTAGACAGAGAAACCAGACAAGGAAGAAAAGAGAAGATGCTGCCTCTTTATAACTCTCTCTGGCAAATACTTGGCTTAAAAGATGATCGTTGCACTGTGCACCGAAGGTTAAGCAATTACAGCTCTGTCTGACCTCCAGAAGGAATGAATTCCTTACACATTACCAAGCACACCCTGCCTCTAGTCTTCATGACTATATGTGTAGGGAGTGCCAGTAAGAGTATCTAAGGAGTCATGCTGCATTCGGAGAGTCATTACTGAAACAATTAAAAAATTCCACCAAAGATCTGGTTTATGGACAGACAGCTAGATTCAGCTAAGTGTAGAAGTCCTATTGATTTAAGTGCTTTGCTTCATTGAGGCTGATGTGCTGAGGAAATCATATAAGGTAAAGTATGGAACAGTTAAATTCAAGCGGCTGCATAGAGGTATTTCTGACTTTTGTTTGTTTTGCTCTTTGACATGAGAAGTACAAGGAACTTTTCATTGCTCTGATGAACAAATGTGATAATTTTCATTAGTTTACTTGTTCTTTCGCTAATGGCTTTATTCTTCATGAGATTAAATGTGCCCCTTCAGTGTTGAAGGGTAGTAATGAAACAGTCCCTAAAATTACATTACTGTGCCCGAACATGTTCTGTACAGGAGTCAGTAGAAATTATGCAAAAAACAGGGTAATGTTTGATGCTAATTTAGGCTAGTTGCATCGTGATCTTGTTTTGAATGGTTAGTATTTGATGCGAGATTAATTGAAAGTGTGAGAGAGATTTGGAATGAGGGGGGTGAGAGGGTTGTTAAGTACTATTAAGAATGGAGTGGTGGATTTGCAGAATAATCTCTCACAATCACAAATAACTTTCATGTTTTTGGTCTTCGGGTTTGAACTTCTAAACACCACTCATGCAAGTGCTTAATCTTTTTCAGTTGGTTTTGTTTTGTTTTACCAAACAGAGCCCTGTGGAACATGAATGGCTTTTTTTTCTTTTTGTCAATTTGAACTTGATTGTCACCACTAAACAAAACTTGTACAAGTCCTGTTGAAGTTTTCTATCTAAAATTTCACATTATAAGGAACTGTCTGGCTCAAAGTACCAACAATGAGATATGAAGCCTTTCATCACTAAACTTGCTGGCTCAAATTCAGCCAAGATTATTAGTATTCAAAAGTCATTAACATTCAATCCTGATTGACCCTGTGAAATGAGTTGGTGGTGTTGTCTACTTTCCAGGGACCTACATGCTCTAGCATGAAGGCATGAAAGGGTATGTAGTGTCAGACTTTGGGTTCAGGTCTGAAGCTGCAGATTGTGTTTTCAACAGGCATAACAGGGAAGGTCCTCTCATGGATCAGTAATTGGTTAAAAGATAGGAAACAAAGGGTAGGAATTAATGGTCATTTATCACAATGGAGAGAGGTAAACAGTGGGGTTCCCCCAAGGAATTGTACTGGTACTTGAGCTATTCAACATATTCATAAATTATTTGAAAAAAGGGAGTGAATAGTGAAGTGGCAAAGATTGCAGATGATACAAAATTATTCAAGATAGTTAAGTCCAAAGCTGATTGTGAAAAGTTGGAAGAGGATCTCAGAAAACTGGTTGATTTGGCAACAAAATGGCAGATGAAATTCAACATTGATAAATGCAAAGTAATGCACGTTGGAAAAAATGATCCCAGCTACATATATATAATAATGGTTCTACATTTGCTGTTACTTGGAGTCTCCATGAATAGTTCTCTGAAAGCTTCAGCTCAGAGAGCAGCAATGGTCAAAAAGGCTAACAATGGTAGGAACCATTAGGAAAGGGATAGAAAATATGACTGAAAATATCATCATGCCACTATGTAAATCTATGGTACACCCACACCTTGAATACTGTGTACAGTTCTGGTCTGCCCATCTCAAAAAAGATATATTCGAATTGGAAAAGGTATAGAGAAGGGCAACAAAGATGATCAAGGGTATGGAATGGCTTCCATACGAGGAGAGACTAAACTGATTAGGGCTATTCAGCTTTGAAAAGAGATGACTAAGAATGGGATATGATAGACGTCTATAAAACCACGAATGGTGTGGAAAAAGTGAATAGAAAAATGTTATTTACCCTTTCCCAAATACAAAAACTAGGGTCACCCAATGAAGTTAATAGGCAGCAGGTTTAATACAAACAAGAGGATGTACTTTTTCACACAGTGCACAGTTAACCTGTGGGACTTATTGCCATGGTGTGTTGTGATGGCAAAAAGTATTACTAGGTTCAAAAAAGAACTAGATAAGTTCATGGAGGATAGGTCCATCAATGGCTATTAGCCAAGGTGGTTAGGAATGCAACCCCATGCTTGGGATGACTCTAACCTGATTGCCAGAAGCTGGGAGGGAATAACGGGGGTGGATCATTCCAACTGCTCCATTCTGTACACTCCCCCGAAGCTCTGATACTGGCCACTATTGGAGACAGAATACTGGGCAAGATGGACCATTGATCTGACCCAGTATGGTCGTTCTTGTGTTCTTAACCATTAGATGAGATAATAACTTTAGCAATAAGTAAAACAGACTGCACTATGTTCATGTGGTGAATAGGGATGAGATAACCCTTTCCAGTTAATTGATTTCAGTTGGAACTGCGGGTACTCAACACCTCAGAAAATCAGGCCTATGACGAGTCCTGTACCCTCACCACAAGACCATTGTTGCTCTGAAGGATAATTGCTTCCTTAACTTCAAATACACAGCTAATTCCTTGATTTAGCCTGCCAAAGTGTGGCTTTAAAGGTTAAGTGAGCTGTTTTACATCAGCAAAGGCCTGAGATCAAGCCCCCTCAGGGTTCTGTGTGTCTCTGGCAGTGGCTGATGCTATCACTGACAGAAGGAGAGCAGGAACTGCATTTCTTTCACTGCTTTAGGTACCAGATATTTCCTTTCTAACGGAAACTCCTCAGAACTCTTGGGCTGAAATTTGGATCTTGACACGTAACTGAACAAAAAATGATTTTTCATCTCATGATCTGTTTGACTATGTATTTATAGCTTGTAATTCTGAACTATTGTTCTACTAGGGACATGGGATCTTAAATAGCTTTCTGTATTTATAACAACCTTGGATTCCCCTTTAATAACGCAAGGTGGCTAACTTCATATTTTTTTTACATCTTAAAGACTATAGTGCTTATAGAGAGCTTTTCATCTTTCAAGTGTTCTACAAACATCAAAGAACTAAACTATAATAACCTTGAAAAATAGGTTGTATTCTCATTTTACAGTGGGGAAAACTGAGGCAAGGGGGTGATTTGTCCACATTTATATAGGACCTTGGTACAAAGTCCACTGAAGCAAATGGAAGCACTCTCATTGACTTGAGTGAGCTATGGACCAAGCACATAGTTAATAGGTTGCATTTAGTCTTTCTGTATCTCAGTTCTCTGTCTGTAAAATGGGATTAATTTTACTTCCCAACTTCACAGGAGTTTTGAGAAGATACATAAATGAAAGATTGTGAGTTGCGCAGATTCTGTAGTGATGGGGGCTATATATCTACAAGATAGATAGATAGGGATAGGACTTGAATTCATGAGTTTGTGTCTCCTTCTCATGTGTTCTAAACCAGTTGTTTTCCACCATTTTGAGCTCAGCACCCATTTGTAAATGTTTGTGGTCTGTTGCCACCCAGTAAATAGTCTGGAGTGGAGGCCCGGGGTGGTTTCAGTCATATCCTGCCCCCCGTAGTGTTGGGTCCTGCCCAGCACTCACCCCACAGTGGTAGCGCCTATAACTCCTGTGCTGTGGGGCTGGCTGGGATTGGATCTCCACTCTGGGCATTGCAACCTCCATGGTTGCAGCGCTGCTCAGATTTGGCCCCACTCCCCGACTGGACAAAATTTGTGTGAGTGGAGTTGTGATTTGGCTCATGGGGTTGCAGTGCCAGACACTCAAGTATGGCCTATCCGTATTCTCATCGCCATAATGGCTGGGCTAAACCTGAGTGGTGCTGGGACCTGCGAGACAGCAGGGAGGTGGTCCCAGCCTACCCTGTTGGACAGGGGTCACAGGAGCTGCCCCACAACCCTTTGAAACATTCTGGCAATCCAGTTTTAGGTCTCGACCCATGGGTTGAGAAACCCTGTTCTAAACAGGTTTCAGAGTAACAGCCGTGTTAGTCTGTATCCGCAAAAAGAAGAACAGGAGTACTTGTGGCACCTTTAGAGACTAACAAATTTATTAGAGCATAAGCTTTCGTGGACTACAGCCCACTTCCTGTTCTAAACCACACCTTTAAAAAACTCTGTTAGAAAAACTAGGGTCAGTATTTCTAGTGGGCAGGTCACCAGAACAGGCGTCAAGGGATGTAGATTCTTTTCCCATCTGTGTCACCGATATGCTGTGTAACCTTGGGGAAATCGCTTGACTGCTCTCTGACTCAGTTTCCTTCTCTGTCAAATTGGGATTATAAAATTTACACACCCACCTTTGTTAAGGTTTCTAATAATATAATTACATATCTTAGAACAAAGTTATTTTTCCATGATAGATTAAGTATATACGATTATTTTTAACTAATTGCGGGGTGAGGCTTTCTCATGTATTTGCTGAAAACTAATTTTTCCCCTTTTTTCCTCTCTCTCACAGATTCCAGTAAGATTATGGCAGAATACAGCCACATACAAAACCAGCTGGAATTACAAAATACTAGTTTAGGGAAAAGCTCTGTGATTAATTCCTTTGAAAATGATCTCCAGGATATTATGGATAGCCTCAACCAGAAGAAATATTCATCAAGCCTTAAATTTAAAACAAATGGGGACTCCTCTGGTTCCTATTTAACCCTATCACAACCTGTGCCAGCTAAACCCAGCCCTTCATCTAGTGTTAAAAATATACAACCCGCTACCAAAATTCAAGGATGTAAACCCTTTTCTTGTGAGAGCCCTTATCTTTCAGATAAAAGTGTCTCTGTAAAGCATATGGGTTTCACTTCTCCATCCTCTAGTGGGTACAGCCTGGGAAGGACAGACTTCGATATTCATGCCAACAGAGAAAATGAAAAACTCTTTGGACATGTGGATAAGTTTCACTATTCAAAATATAGTCAAAAAAATAAATCGTATGACAATGTCTTCTTCCCAGCAGTGCTGGATGGGAAGAAGAACTCAGGCTCTCTTCTTGCAATGTGGAATGGAAGCTCAGGTAGTGAAATAATTCTCTCACCTGTTAGCAGTTCAGGGGCTGCAAGCATGCCTTCCAGCCCAAAACAAGGCAGGAGGATGAATATTCAAGACCACCTAACCCTTCATTCAAGACCAGTTAAGCATAAGGAGACCATGACTGAGACTCTGGGTTCAAGAACTAGGAAGTATTCTGGTGGGTCACTGGGTCATATGGGAGTTTATAGTCGTTCTCTGCCCAGGCTGTATAAATCGACAGAAAGCCAGCTGATGCCATTAAGTTTGCCTCCAAGAAACTCTCTTGGTAATTCCAAAAGAAAAAAACACGGAGAAAAAGATCTACCTCAAAGTGCATTAGATGCTGATAATTACCTTAATTTTTCTTCTTGCAGCTCAGGGGTGTCACCATATACAAATTCTGTGTCTGACAGTAATTCCTATGTTAGTTCAACTCTTAGTGTTCCTGCAAGCCCCCGAATAGCTAGAAAAATGCTTTTAGCATCTTCCTTCTCCCATGTTTCTGATGATTTTGATAGATTTGGACTCTCAGGGACAAGCCCCAGTAATTCTTTTTCCCCTGTGGATCTTGACAGAACGTTCTCTGTCAGAAGAAACATTTCCACTAGTTCCATGGAGTTTGATGAATCTGACCTGGAAAGCTTCAGACAGACACCTACCTTACGGGAGAGAAAAAACAGTATTAGTTCAATTTCTGGAAGAGATGACCTAATGGACTATCACAGGAGACAAAGGGAAGAGAGGCTTAGAGAGCAGGAGATGGAACGACTGGTAATTTTTCTTTTCCTTTTAGTTTTTATCAGTGTTTAATGCTTGCAAAACTAACTTTCCAAAGAAAACTATTAAGAGTATACAGTAGATGCAAAACATCTGCTGTTGTGTTTTGAAATTCAAATACATGACCTTGTGCTCTGGCGGCTTGTTTACTATGTCAGTCTCTAAAGTTAATGGGTATACAATATGCTACATCAACATATCAGATGGTATCATTCAACCATTTGAAAAAAATGTAGGAAATTCACAGAAATTATGGTAGTTCAATCTGTGGGTTCCGCCAAAATATCTATGTACATAAAACCCACAAATTGCATGGCAGGGCTCCAACACTCTTAAAAAAATTTTTTTTTCCAAGTTGATGGCACTGTTTTGTGGTAAACACTGGGTAAAAAAACAAAACAAAACCTATGTCTCCACTGTAAGATTTCAGGGTCATGCTTCAATAAGCACCAAAGAATTGGACAACAAAATTACCTGATGTGTAATTGCTTGGTCAAGACTGTCTCCTGAGTATCTTCATCAAAGCATTGATTTCTCTACTTGTTGGTTCTTTCTAGTGATCACAAGGCGAGGGAGGAGGGGAATCATTTCCATTCTGTAGGACATCCAAAATGTTTGATACAAGACAAAATATTAAGATTATATAATGCTTCAAAAATTAAAGGTAAAATAATTAGAGCTATACTGATCCATCAATTAAAACTGGATAATACCCCAAAAGGAGAAATCATATAACAGAAACACACTATTTGAAAAAATCAAATCTTTCAAAATGTAAATTTAAAAAAATATTGTATTTGAAAACTTCCTCAAGATAATATTTACCTTTTTGCCCCAAATATTTTTACACTTATAGCAAAGTAAAATGCACCCTTTGTTGCAGGGATCATATAAGGTCATGTATACACAGAAGTTGCACTGATTTTATTCCATCAGTTTAGAAATTGATGTACTTAAATGGGTGCAGTCCCATTTGTGAACACTCCTAACTAGTTTAAAAGTGACTCTGTATCAGTTTAGTTCAGGGGTGGGCAAACTACTGCCCACGGGCCGGATCTGGCCCATCAGGGCTTTGGATCCGGCCTGCAGGATTGCCACCCCCGTGACGCCACGGGTCCTGCACCGCTGCTGAAAGCGGTCGGCACCATGTCTCTGCAGCCCCTGGGGGGAGGGAGGCGGGGCCAGAGGGCTCCGTGTGCTGCCCTCGCCTGCAGGCACCACCCCCTGCAGCTCCAATTGGCTGGGAATGGGGAACCGTGGCCAATGGGAACTTCGGGGTAGGTACCTGCAGGTGAGGGCAGCACACAGATCCCTCTGCCCCCTGGCTTCCCCAGGGGCTGCAGGGACATGTTTTAGCCCCGCAGAGAGCCTGTCTTAGCCCCGTTGCACGCCACTGCCACCCTGGAGCCGCTCCAGGTAAGCAGCGCCGGGCCGGAGCCCGCACCCCGAACACCTCCCACACCCCAACCCCCTGGCCTGAGCCCCATGCCACACCCCGCACCCCTCCTGCACCAACCCCCTGCCACACCCCTCCTGCATCCCACCCCCTTCCCTGAGCCCCCTCCCACATCCCAACCCCTTGCTGCACCCCTCCTGCACCTGATCCCTGAGCCCCCTCCCACGCCCCTCCTGCACCCCAACTCTTTGCCCTGAGCCCCCTCCTGCAC